TTCTATGATTCTATGATTCTATGATTGAACTAAGGTCAGCATTATTTGACATGCTAGCAAGGCAGGGGGCGAAATGGAGCCTCACGTACCATCTGGCCAAACAGCACTGAAACTCCCACTGCTGCAAATGAAAGTTTTGCCTAGGAAACTTCTGGTTAATGACATTTGAAGTAGTATGTGTACTGTCAGTAACAAGGATGTCATGAGGATATAAACTCTCAATTTCTGAGGCTAATATCTGCAAAGCCCTACCCTAGAGATATGTTAAGTGACAAGTGAGGCCCAGGGTACACAGACAATTCCCACACTGACAAAGGAAAATGGGATGGAGCATATCTTAAGGATGAGTCTGCAATTCATTTGAGATACAAAAACATGTATCAACCTACAAAAACTGGCATGGTCTCATTGTCTTCTCTATGGCCAGTATTTATCTCCGTATCTCCAAAAGATTTTTTTCTCATTATTTTCCTGATTGTTTTAATGAGTAAAAAGGCAGTATGTATTTTATGTTCAGTTGTAAATGTAGGACCTTGTATTTAAATGATGAACAAACTGCAGAAGGATATTTGTCTACTGGTGAGTACTTTCTTCTTTGTGTAAAGGCATGTTGCCCTATTAGTACTTTTTAAAGTAACTAACTCCTTTAAAAATCTTAAATTTCTGACTATACATTCTGTTCCTCACTTAGCCACTGACAATTTGTTGCCCCTACCTTTGCTTGGTGGATTTAAAGTAATGATAAAGCATATCAAGAAATGATGTCTTCCTTTTCATCTAAAATATCCACTTCTTGCTTGGTACTTTTTAATTCCTTTGCTAAAACTGCAAGCCAGGGAAGCATGATTAGCGGCCATATACAAAATCTGTATGTGTATGTCATTACTATTGAAGGCACAACATATAAAAGGCTTTCAAGTGTATGTAAAGGGAGCAAACAAACAAACAAACAAGTGTAATGAGTATAACTCTTGATTCTAGGAGGTATTTGTGAAAATACCCCATTTGTATTTATAAAATATATCCCATTTTTTCTTGAAATGTAAATTTCAAGTTAACAGTGTCATTTTAATCAGATGTATTGACTGAAACCAGGAATCATCATAAAAGATAACCTTTATACTTGGTACGTCTGGAAAAGCTGGTAGAATCCTCAGAGGAACTAAAGAGGTTAACAAGGGGACAGAGCAAAGTAGCTTTCAACCTCAGTTATTTTCTTTTGTATACATATGGGTCTGTGATTCTATTAAAATGAGTGCATCAGTTCTGTTTATTATTCACAGATTTCCTAAAAAGAATATGAAAAAGTAAATGAAATAAAGTATCACTGAGAATGAACTGACAGTAATTTAATCAGTTACAAAGCAACTAGAAAAATGGTGTTACCTTCTACATGGCATATCAGAAAGCTATCTCACACTTAGCAGTAACATCATTCTTTTAAAAAATCACTAGGTTTGTAAGCAGCCTGTGTATCTCATTCATCATTTTCTCACTAGTCCTTTCAAATTAGAAATACCATGAAAAATAGATATTGAAGACTGTCAGGGATATCATGGATTAACTTTGAAAGATAAAATAATAGTTTCAGAAAAAGGTTGGGGGAGAAAGAGACACAAAAATGTGGTTACATTTTAATGCAAAAAAAAATTAATTAGTATTAATTTTCTTTTTTTCAGGCCTAACTTATGTGAGGGGCAACTTCCTCAAATATGGTCTGTCTTCCTAGGGCTTACTGCAAGTTTAAGTTCTGTTTCATAAATTAAAAACTTTGCATCCTGTTCCCCATGAAGCAAAGACAATTTAATGTTATGATTGTTGGTTTTCAAAAGAATTATATATGCAGGTTACACATGTAAAACACCTCAATTAAAGGCTGCTTTCTCCTTTAGCAGACACAAGGAACGATTTTTCCTGCTCCGAATTTTAACCCTATTATGGATGCACAGTTGCTAAGAGGAGCCCTACAGGGAATTAGTGAGTATCTTGACTGATTCTAACACATCTTTTCTTTCAGAAAGCTCTCATAAAATAACAAGCATTAGGCAAAATAAAAACTCATAAAATTAAGTGTCACCACGTATCTGTTAATTCTTCAAGGTATCACAATAAGACAGTCCGGTGATGTCCAAATAAATCACGTATTTGCATTTACAGGAACTAAGAGGGATTAAGATTAATCTAAAATCTATACCAACCCTTAGAGTAATGAATGCTTTCCTTGAGAAAATAAGAAAAAGAAAACAGAATTCTGTGTTATGCACTACAGTGAAGGCCAATTAAAGGTTTTTAATTGTAACTTCAACAATTAACTATTACCAGGGACTGTTAAGTCTTTTAATCAGTCATCAAGAAATAAAAATAAATGGAGTAGAAAGTTTAAAGAATTTATTATCTTTCACTAAGGAGCAATTTTGGCTTTCAGTCTATGTACAAAAAAAATTTTTGTTCACCAAAACGTTTTTCTCTATTCAGACATTTGTGTTTTCCTGTTGAACACTGTTGGTATTGCTGAGGGTCAGAATATTGATTTTACTTTTTTTTTTTGCTATCTGAAGCATTTTCCTCACATTAAAGTTGTTGTCTGTATCAAAATTTTTATACCCCTTGGGCTTTTCACAAGGCTGTACAGCACCGAATCTTGCATTCTGTTTTCAGTTTCTTTAATGGAAATGTGAGGACTCAATGTCAAATGAATCAAAATGGGTATTACTGATCAAGAGGAATCTGATGTATCTTTTTGATAAGTTGGCTACAGATGAAAAGTTTTTAAAATTTTGCTGAACTTCAAACAGTACTTTTAACACAACATTGCTAACACAACAATGCAGAGATGATTCTCTTCATTTAATACTGTAAATACAAGTGCATTAACCTTACTTTTAATTTACCTATCAAAGTACATGGAACAAAGTTCTAATTTCAAGGACAATTGGCAAAATACAAAGTTCAGCTTCAGAGGAGTTTAAGTCTCCATAGCCTTCACAGGCACTGACATGCCTGACGCTGAATCTTGCACACCTCTTGTGAGGAGGTTCAGTCACATAGGTGATATGTAATACCACTGGTATTACACAAATGAATAAAGTTATTTAGGTTTTTAAATATTTCCTGAATCCTTCTTAGTTTTTACTGTAGAGACTGTATAAGCTGTACAGATTCCTAGTGATAATTATTTTCTGAAAAGTAAAAAGAAATTCTTATGCACAGAATTTCAGTAATACATCTATTTTGTGAGTTTGGCGGAAAAGAATCAGACTGATGTTGATGTTAGTGTCATGCTAAAAAGCTGGTGTAGTTGTGGCGAGATAATCCAGAAGAAAGAGAACTAAACCTGTATAATGAGCAAATACAGACTTCCTCTGCCAACTTAAAAAAAAGTATCCGATATACAGTTACATTTGTGTCAAAATGGAACCTGTCAGTTATAGATAGTATGATAAAATCTGGCTTACAAAGCTGTAATAGGTATAGAATGTGTATCTGTAACATATATACATATATATATGCCTATATAACAATGACTAGTAGAAACATGAGAGACTACCCTACTCCGTTCAGATGCTAGCTGATCCTCATGCTTTCTAGCCTAATTCATCTCTGCTGCAAGTGTGATAAAGTCAATTGATTTACACTTGGAGATACATTTATGCTGGAATGTCATTAGAATGCTGACCCATCTAAAACTACCAAGAGCCATCTTTTGGGATGGAAAAAAATACAAAAATGATAAAATATTTTTCAGAATATGTTAATCATTATCTTCTTTTTCATAAGCAGTTATTAGTGATTCATTATAGAAGTTTAGCAATATGCTCTAGCTATCAAGAAAAAGATGATAGGTAACCTTCAATAAAATGCCTTTGGAAATTGGTTAAAATATTGTATTTTTTAAAACTTCATAACTTATTTTACATAGTTCCTTTGAAAATATCTATCTTTAGTTTTTCAACAAATGGTCTGACCATAATCTGTCATCCTCATAAAAGAGATCCCTAATCCTGAAATGACATTTAATCAATATCAACAGAGCATACAAGTATGACTTCCCAGGCTCAACCACAAATTCTGCTAGTGTGCCTAGTTCTGAATAGATGAAAGCCTCTATCTGTTTTATAGAGGCTTTCAATGCTTTCAAATGCTTTCAAATCCATTGAGCTTGAGATGGTGATGCATCTCATAATAACAGACTACTTCACTTCTTGTTGGTATTACTAGCAAGTGAAAGGTACATAAGCATTGTAAATATAATTGATGTTGGTAAATACCAGTGGGATATTAATCTGTTGATCTTTTTTTTTCAAGAATTTAAGTTAATGTTCTTGAACAAAACATGAACAATCACAAATGTAAGTAAATAACTACACTTTCTTAATTTAGAGTCTGTGTTGTGTTTCCTTCACAGGTTGTGAAAAAGATGTGTTGATTGATATCCTAACGCAGCGTTGCAATTCACAGCGGCTTATGATTGCCGAGGCGTACAGAGACATGTATGGCAGGGTACGACACAGCCGTTTTGTACTTTCATTACTTCTGTCTCTCCTGTCTCCAGTGAGGTTGTTCAGCCCTTCTCTCAGGTCAGTCACTGGAACCAAAAGCCTGGCAGACAGCTGGCTGGCACCAACAGACTGGCATACAACTTCGCTCATGTAACTCTTGATACCTCTAACGGTTTCAAATTGTCACTTATATAGCAGTAGAAGTACATCTGCGACACACAAAGTTAAAAAGAAGGGACATGGAAAGTTGCTTCTTCTATAGTTCATTCTCTTCCTCTATTGAGCAAACCAGAATTTCTGGACAGACTTATTTCTTCTTCTATGTGTTTTTGGGGGTTTCTGCATTGCTTTTTCAAGTTTTTGGAATACCAAAGAAAAACACCATACCAACAATTGTATCTTATTCACGCACTGATTAATGTTCTCATCTCAAGCACTGACATTCTCAGACCTCGTACCATGAAATCCCATCTATACACTAAGCACAATACTAATCTGAGTTGCTTAATGTTAAATTTATGATTCTTTGAAAGGTGTTTCAAAAATTTTAAGACATAAAAAGTTAGCTTTTTTTTTTCAAATGCATTTTATCAATATTTACTGTATATAACAAGGTAATTTTTGTTATACGAGTTCTTAAACATACACAGAGATAGATATCCTCATTCTGTTTCCAGATCTACTATTGCTAACCAAATGACTTTGGCAAAGTTGCAATGCCTGCAGTTTTCTCAGTTACCCCAGCTATATAAATGCGAAAATAATAGCAACGCCCTTTGTAAAATCCCTGTGAAATCTAGTGATGAAAAGTGCTGTATGAAACTAGATACTACTGGAAAGCTAAAGAAAAATGCTGTGATTAAATTGACCAGAGATGCCCTTCCCCTAATAGAGGCCAGCCAAACATTTTAAATAAAATCCAGTTTTCTTCTTTTCCTGAAGCCTGAAAAACTAACGGCTCACTGGAAAATGCCTTGAAGGTCAGTGCATGCTTGCCATTGATTCGATCAGCATGAATGAGGACCGTGAGTTTGCAGAAATCCCACCACACAGCCATCAGCCTTAATTAGAGCTAACTAGGAAGGGTTCATTCAAAAACTCCACATTAGCTGCTGATGTGGTAGTCTGTTACTTACCAGTCTGTTAACTGGTATTTTCTTCTTTGGGTAGCTGAACAGTTTTCCAGAAACAGCCTTTGGGCCACCTGTATACCAAAATACCTCACAACTGTTGACCTCTAAATATGCTGGAACATCCCCTTATTCTCCTAGAATTGGGGGAAAGAGAGGAGCTGGATTTAATCAGTATGGGTTGATTTGGTGTTGTTGCTCACCTATAGGAGATCAATGGCTTTATTTGGACTGTTATAAAAATTCAAACGCACAATATTGGTGATATTTTAGATGCAGCCTTGAATGGATGAGTATGTTTTAAATAGACCATAAAGGAACAATAACTGAATCACAGGTATCCTTACCTTCCAAAGACTGTGACAATGATTGAAATCAGTGGACCTGAATGATTAAAAGTGTTTTTCTATGATGAGGTATTTATTAGGTTACCATTACCTTTACACATGCAAACCACACAAGTTCAGTGTTTATCCATGCAACATTCCTCATGAGTTTTAGTTTTAGTTATAAAAAACTAAAGCATGTCAAGCTACACAAAGGTGCCTGTGATAGCAGAGCACCTAAGCCCATTCTTTTCAAGTCTTCATTTATCTCCTTAATCACTGGACAGTGCTCCTTCTCTATTTTGTCCATAGCAGCTGGCTGGGGTTTTTTAACCTTTTCTCTAGAGTCTTTCAACTGGACCTATCATTTTAACAAGGGAAAACATTTAAAAACTCCATAACATTTTTTATCTTTAATTTCTACCCTCTGATACATAGAAGTGACCTAGAAAAAATACTAATGATATCTCAATAAAGAATTGCCAAATGTCCTTCAGGAATGGAGTTATGATTTGCCATATTTAGTATTCAAAGAGAACAATTATTGACTTGCTCACCGCTGATCTATTTGGATTTTCATTTCAAATCTAAAATAAAAATATAAACAAATAAATAAATCCCTATGAAACCACACCAGCTTTAAATTTATACCTCTGTCAGCCATATTCAGTCAACCTGAAGTGCTATAAAGCCAGTGGCCACAGACCTAAAGGTCTAAAAGAACTGAAAAAGCCAAAGAAAACCTCAGATGTAATTTTTAAGAATTTCAATCTCTAAAACTACCAATAATAATAGAAGGGAAAGGCAAGCAAACTGTTTTTATATCCCAGCAATGGGCTACAGAAAATTCTGAAACTCATGGAACATCTTGCATATACACCCACAATTTTAATTTAAATGAATCCATTAAGCACTGGGTATACTTTATAGAGCAATATATCAAGATGCTCTTGACAGCTTTCCAAAAAAATCCCAACTAGTTCAACCTTTTGCAATGTGGAAACAGGGGTCAGTACAAATTAGCTCTAATCTAGTCAGAGATGAAACAGTAAGGCTGACTTTTTTTGTCTCACCTGTGATAGCAGATCTACTGAAATGGCTAATCCGGCTAGTGCTCTATGCAGTTTATTTGATTGATCCCTCAAAAGTTTACTATCTTGGGCAGGAACCGCCAAACAGGATGGGATGCGTCTTGCCCTGAATTGCTGCAGTTTACACTTCAGAAGATACTTTAGCACACATCAGTGATAGCATTTCATTGGCTGTAATCTGTATTAATGGATATATTGCATTGGGCAAATGTCCATTCAGCAGTCCCAGCTTATGAGTGGTAAACTCTGCAGGACAGAGAAGACAGACAGCTAGGCAATAACAATTTTAGCCTTCTCAGTTTAATCTATGGTAAACCTGTCAGTCCAATCCTCCACCCTCTTAATTTCAATTCAGTCTGTTCAATATGGTAGCCACTATGCTCATTCATTTGACAAATGTAAAGTGTGACACATTAGAAGGAGAAATATATGAAAAAAGAAAATAAAACCCTGAACTGGCTGCATGATTCAGACATAAGCTTTAAGATTCCTTCTTACAATTAGCCTTCAAGGATTTCTTATAGCAGAGACAATTAGGAAATGTTAATAATGACAACTTAAGAGTTGTCTTTTCTTATTTTTCAATACTTCCCTTAGCTCTGATTGCAGAAGTAATTTTTAATTAGTATCCATTTGTATTATTAATCCCTTTTCCCACAGGCATCTTGTCAGAAGTGAAATGTCTTAATGAATTAATTTCTATTCCATGTGTGATTTAGTGGTTGTCAAATGCATCTAATGTGCATTCACTGAAGGCTGCGTATGTTTCTTCATCATAAATTTAATTTTTAATGTGTATATGCCCTCCTTCATTGCTACTTTAGCTACTAATTTAATTATATTCAGATATGTATCAAAACCAAAGTACAGGCTTGAAAAAGATGCAGCTCTGAAAAAAGAATAGTTTATATCATGGGAACCGTTTCTGATACTCCTTTAAATTCACTTAGGTCAGAACATATCTGACAGCTGCCTAGTGATGCACACAAAAAAATTTAAAAAATGAGTCCACAAGTATCTTCTTAAAAACAGCAATAGTATAACTAACAAGCTTTTACCATTCTCAGTGTTTTGAAGGATGCTACTGGGAAAAGGAAGCATGGGGAGGAAACTCACATCCATTACTCAGCTACCTGGCATGCGAGTACTGAGACACATGCAGGGAAGAGGGGACTCCTTTTTATTAATCCAGCATCTGTCAGAAGAAGTTGATTCAGTTTGAATGCAATATATACATAAATTGAAGCACATAACCTTCCAGTAATCCAAAGGATTTATGTACTAGGAGCAATATGGTTGATTTTTTAAATTATTCACATAGTGAGTAACACTGAAAAAAGCACAAGAAATTGCCTGTGTTCTATGGGATTTGACTTCCAGAGGTGCTTAGCTCCCACAGATTCGCAGAGGGAATATGCCAAGGGAAGCTGCAGATGCTCTGCCATGGTATTCAGGTTTTCAAGCCTTTAAGTAGTAATTGCACTTAAACTGAATTTTCTTCTGTATTCTAATGAACCAAAAATCAACAATCCTATGTGGTCTACTTGCTTGTGTGACTATTGTCATCTCACCCATACTATTAGAAGAAGCAGGTACTATTTAAAAGAATATTTTTCTTACTTAATTTTAGTCAGAATTCATCTTCGACAGTTCGACAGTTCATCTTTATTCATTTACAGAGAAAACCACTAACACTTTTTTTAAGCTGTTTTCATGAAGTGTGACTATTGAAATAATCCTGTCTATGCATTTTATTTTTCTTTTCAAGGATCTGGTAACGGACCTAAAAGAGAATCTCTCTCATCACTTCAAAGAAGTCATGGTTGGCTTGATGTATCCACCTGCCTCCTATGATGCCCACGAGCTCTGGCATGCCTTGAAGGTACTTGTCAAATTCAGAATTGTTTAGAGTTGCAATCACTAATTACAGTACTGAACATATGTTAAATTGATTTTTTTTGACATTTAAATGGTTGGTAAACTGCTGGAAGTTAGTACACTAGGTCATCAGAAATACAATGCTGTATGAAGTTTATTCATTGGTATGCTAAAACCAGCATAAATAATATCCTTGTCATGTAACAAATACAACCCATTTAACACCTATGGTAAACTCAGTAAATGAAGAAATTTAAGGTCCTGATCCTGCAAGCATTTATGTATGTTATGAACAAAATTGATTTGAACAGCCAGTGCCATGTACTAAGCCTCCACCTCTGAAAAGACTAATACTTCTTTAGCAGAACATGTCTTTACATAATCACTTAGAAATTACTCTGTGACAAAGCAATGATCACTCCACTCAAATTGAACTGATTGCACATTTTGAAGAAAATCTTTCCTTTTCTTCCCAGGATCTGAGCCTGTGCTCCTTAAACAACTGAAGTTTTGAAACAAACAAAAATATTTTTTCAACGATCATGTAATTAAATGGTGAAATTCATTCACGCATGGTATTGTGGAGGCCAAAAGCACAAATCAGTTCATAAAGGACTTAACAAATTCTTAGAAAACAGGTCCACTGTTGGCTATTGAAAATAATAATCCTTGGCAAATTCCTTCTCAGGAAATTCCTAAATTGCCAAGTCCTGGAAGATGGGAAGGCATATCAGAGCTCAATACTGTTTTCCTTTTCTTTCCATGAATATTTGCTACTATACACTATCACAAATAAGACACATTATACGACTCTGAGCAAGGTGATCTATCTTACATTATTTTGAGAATCCCCTCAAAAAAAAAAAAAAGATTAACACTGTTTTTCCTTGTCCTTCTGACACTTAAACCAATGCACTCTTTAGAACTACTGATGTATTTTTAATTACAGTTAACATTAAAATGATTGTGAAATATCATTGGTAGTACTGGAAGCATGACTTTTATTAAAATTATTGACAAGATTACTAAAGCTATTTTTTTTTCTAAATGTGGCTCAAAGTTAAACTTTCTTATAGTATTCTATCTTGAACTGGATTCATACGGCCAAAGTAAAAAACAGGCCATATGTGTCTCCAGGCTCAGGCTTGATGTAATGTTCTCCCATTATCCCAAATGCAGAATACTCACCAATGCTATACATGTGCATATCAAAAGCAGCACATGTAGCGTATCTTGTATCAATTCAAGTTGTATATGTGTAGATGTGGCACTTAGGGACATGGTTTAGTGGGCATGGTGGTGTTGGGTTGACGGTTGGACTCGATGATATTAGAGGGCTTTTTCAAACAAATAAAACAAAACAAAACAAAAACAAAACAAAAAACAAACCAAACAACAAAAAAACCAACAACAAAAAAGAAAAGTTTATAAAATTAATTCAAATCCTGTGGGAAAATACAGTGATTTGCAGCACTGCATGCATGGCCATGATGCTTCCCTTAAATACCAAGTTCCACAGTAGACATTACAGACCATAACATTCCTAAATAAATTAAAAAAAAAAAAAAAGAAAAGAAGATAGAAACACAACATAATGGTTGGGCTCATATCTACTTCAGATTGCCTGAACACTTGCTGGGGATGTATCCTTAATCTTCGCATCTGATTTCTTTCAGCAAATCCTAAATTCTTACTGAAGTTCTAAAATTCTTCCCATTATGTTTCTGTCAACACTAGTCTTGCTTCATTCCCCACTTGTTAACGTACATGCTGAAATTCAGATTAAGTAGGAATATATTTGAAATACAGGGTTCTACTATTAATTTAAAGTCATTTTCTATTTAAACAGGTAAACTATACAAAAGTACACTCTGCATTGCCCCAGCAGAGACTGCTATTCTTTTGTTACTTCTGATAAGCGCAGCATTGTTTTCTTCTAAAAGCTGTGGTTTCTAGTAACAACATCGTTTCATATTTACTTCTTTTCACACAGGGAGTAGACACAGAAGAAAAATGTCTAATTGACATATTAGCCTCGAGATCAAATATGGAGATCTTCCAGATGAAAGAAGCCTACTTAATGCGTAACGTTTTTTACAAGTGCACAGTAGCAGTTGTACTATGTGTGCTCTGGATGTATTAGCATACATGAAAGAACTGAACTACAAAAATGACTTCTCAATACTAACTGGTTCCCTTCCCCTTCCTCTCCCATAACTATACACAAAAGGCTGAAGCAAAATGTTTAAAGTTGAAAATACATCATAGTGTTTTTGAGATGTATTGCTGCCTATGACATTTGAAATACCTGGCAGCTACATTTTCGGATTTTCAGAAACTTCTGCACACTTTATTCAAAAAAGTACATAAGCTGTTTTCCTTCAAAAAGTGCTTACTCAGGCTGGACACTCCATTCACCTGCCTTGATGAGGCTTTTCCGAGTATCCCACCGCCACAGCAGCAGCAGTGGTGGGGCTGTGCCCGTGGGTGGGTGGACAGGCGAACCAGGGGCAGCGGCTGAGGCCCCCTTGCAGGGCAGAGCCCCCCGGCAGGGCCCAGGCAGACCTGCCGGCCCCATGGCTAGGTCCGTGCAGAACCTGCACAGGTTACTGTGGAATAATCACCATAGAAAATGGACAAGTATTTGCACCCTATTTATTTATCCTTTGTTTGCTAATCTTCATTAGTACTATTCAGAGCATGTTCATTTCTGATTTAGATCATACGTTTTTGTTTTAACCTAGAATATAATAATGATCTTCAACAAGATATCGATTCTGAGACTTCAGGTCACTTCAGAGATACGCTCATGAACCTTGCTCAGGTACTGTAAAAACAAGTAGTATGACTTACATTTCTAAAAAATTCGTAACAACTTTGATACTATTTAAGAAGGCTTAAACTTTAAGATGACTGTGGTTAAAGCTAGTTCAATGAGGCTACACTTTTGAACAAGAGAGGGGGGGAAGCAGAAGAGGAAGAGAACTTGAATTCTTTCATCTACTTTGACTTTGACTTTGGTTTTCAGAGGCAAAGGTCAACACACTATTTTATTGAGCAAGTCCCTGGATATTCAACTGCTGACCCTCTGCTCAATCTGTCTCATCTCAAAAGGAGTCCACTTGCATGTACAAATGAGATTTTCATTTTTAAAGCTCTGTTTTCTCTGTTGTTAGAATATATGGTTCATAATCCAGTCTAGGCATTATGTAAAAATAGAGATATATCCACATTTGACTATGAAAGAAAGTATTAAACAGTTCTCCGTTTTAAACATTATGTTCTTCGTGCTACTGCATATGCTACATTACAGTATGTTTGCATGCAGGCAAACAAATTGTCACTATCACACACCAACTTTTGCAGTTTTACCAATTTGTAGTTTTATGAAACAAAGTTGGTCATCCTTGTCAGATCATGAGTTCCCATTCTCATTGTAGTCACTGTGTTCATTACCTTAAAAATCTCTTGCAAACCAGAGCAACAAAAGGACTGCCAGAAGATAACAGCATACATAAGGTATATCTGTATTTTTATGTATGTGTGTCTGGGGAAAAACTATTTCTTACTAAGATTTCAAATGGCAGCAGGCTTTACTGAGGTACAGAGATAAAGAGCAGATGTTTCAAATGTAGAAGCTATAAACAGGAAATATATTCTTCTAATGTTGGATGTTTTTTCCTCCTAATAATGAAAATTCTTTCTTCCTTAAAAATTAAGAGCAACAGGTTAAGGAACCTCACTTCTCATCTTTATTAAAACCATGGGACACATTTTACTCATCAAAAGAACAAATTTAAAATAAATTATTTGAGACTACATTATTAGCCCTTATTTTCTTAAACCACAGATATTAATAAAGAGGCCTGAAATCAGCAACTTCTTAGCTAACAAGATCTAACTGCTATTTTTCTCAAGATAAAGGAGAGCTGCAGGAAATTCCAACCTTACGCAGTTACACTGTATACTTCTGAAGATTGTTAGTTGAATCATCCGTGTCTTGATATGATCTTATATTAAAACTCAGTGGTATTTCATTAAAATATATCCTTTCTAGTTCTAGTACCATGCAATTTACAGAAGAGTATTCTATAGCAACATTTCCAATCCTTTAATGCTTTTTTCAGACACCCTTTGCTTTGATTTCTATTAAATCTTGGGATTGATGACACACACATCTGACTACAGATAGAAGAAAATGTGCTTCACATATAGAGAGCAAACTATTCAATTGCTATAGTGTGGTATTTACGGTTTTCATGTTCACACTGAGGCAGATGAGAAGTTATAAGTTACTGTCCTTCCTAAATAAATTAACAGAGTTACAAATTCAGGCTAACTAATATTATAGTATAAGACAAACAGATTTTTATTCTAATTCTCTTTTTCTGTGTATTAGTTGAAATATGATAATTTTCTACAATTTAAAAATAACTTTGCATATTGTGGGATTCTCCAGAAAAACTATGCCAAGAGTAGTCACTATTAAATGTTACTGGGGAAAGTGGGCATTTGACTCATGTAGAGTATTATTTAACTTATTTTATTGTTCACTTGTCTGTCTTTTTTTCCTGTGTTTTCTTGTGTATGTAACTTTTTGCAGTTATTCCAGCATAATTTCCTTCAAGTAATTTATCTTGTTACTAGGAATTCCACTGTGTGAAATTCTTACAATTTAAGTAGAATATAAATTAACATTTTTAACAGGAAAGAGCTACAAATCAGTCATTCTACAAGTTGACAGCCAATACATAATTTTAAACCTCCCTTTCACATATAGGGTAAAATGACTGTAAATTTTAAACTGAAGTAAATTGCTTCAAACACGTATCATTAAGGCAGTGATTACATGCAGCTTGAGATTGTTAAGAGTTCTGCAACCAGGGCACATTTGTATCCTTACAAGATGATTATGGTTACAAAAGCAATTCCAAAAGTTGTGTGCCTTTCTCTTTTTCTAACAACTATATAATTCAGATCATAGCGTGTTTACTAAAGCATATCAGCTTGATTTTGTAACTGAAAAGCTACTAAATGTATGGGAAAGTTAGAAGTATTCTCCTGTGGTTTATGTATCAAAGTTGTCAAACAATTTCCTAGTCTTGGATCTTCATTTTAGACAGTTATTATAAGCAAGCAAAATCTCAGTTATTTTATGTGCTTGCTCCTATGGTTTGTGCAGGGACAAAAAAAATTGAGAAAAGATTCTTCTAGTAATATGCATATTGATAAGAAATAATCAGTGAATGGCACATGTTACCTTATCCTTGTTTTTCCCTCATAGTTACACATCATAGTAAGCAATATACTGGAAATGGCGGTGGGATGGTAGTGGTAAGGTAAAAGCTTATTTAAAATGGGACTAAAAATAGGATAGGTTTATCCACTTCCGCTATTTTTTCCTCTCACAAGACCGTTTGTCATTCCAGAGTTCCTCAACTTAGAGGAAATGAAGACGTAACATGACAACTTGAAGATATTTTCTACAGTTGCAAATTCAGCCATTGAATACACTGATCCAATCTAAAAGCCCATATGTGTTATCTCAAGAAATGAAGCGTAGCTTCATATGGAGACAACTTTATATTCCTACAGTCTTTTAGGATTTAACTTTTGAAGAAAATGTATCTTTTTTTCCCTCAGGGAACAAGGATGGAAGGATATGCAGATCCTTCTACAGCTGCTCAGGATGCAATGGTAAATATGGTCAGATGTGAGCTTCTCAAACATAAAAAAAAAAAGAACAAATACAAATTTTGAAAAGTGATTTAGGACTTACTTAAAATCTTTTGCATTTTTTTCCTTTTTCTGGTATATTAGATTCTGTGGGAAGCATGTCAGCAGAAAACAGGCGAACACAAAAACATGCTGCAAATGATTCTCTGCAACAAGAGTTACCAGCAGTTGTGGATGGGTAATCCAGCGGTTCA